TCAGTGCCTAACCTACAGTACAATCTATTTTCAACGACTGACTCTGGAAAGCTGGTCCACCAACCTAGAACAAACGCCACTTGACAGACGTCAACAACTACCGGCGCCTTACAAACGACTTATCCATGACGGAAACGAAATCGACAAACGGACTTCCAACAGACCGACTTACTTTGACTAACAATAGTCGGACCAAAAACCGACCAATTTGACTAACAATAGACGGATCGAAACCCACCGATGACTGATGACAAACTTTGCACGAGTCTTTCAGCCAATACCATCATGGCTAAACTGACCAATCATGTTCAACGGACCAGACTCATAACATCATCGACTGACAAAAACTATCCACTTGACTCTGAAGATGACTTCCACACAGGTTGTCGAAACGTCAGTCACCAACAACAGTTCTTTTCAAAACTACCCTCACCCGGACGATCACTCTATACAAACTAATTACAGAATTGTCTATTTGATGGTCTGTGAGTACATTTCCCCTGTTTTAATCGTATTTGCAGGATTAGCATTTGGTGGCTTCTGAAAACTGACAATCAGTAGGAATCAGGCACCCTGATAAAGTCAAACAGCAGTGCTGTTACTAGTTCCTTGCTCCAAACTGATTTAGATGTTCGCCGGTCCGAGTTTGGACGAGATGCACTTTAGATGACCTCTCAGTCTCAGATAACTGGCCCATCCACCGGATAGATAACGTTTTCCGAGCCCAGCATAAGCAGGTCCTTGAAAGTAGGCAGAAGTAGACACAACTGACTGTCTCATTCACCAATGTCTTCTTGCTAAATTGTATAGTTTGCTCGTTGCCAGTCTCGTCCCCAAGTCCCTCACGTTTTCGGCCAGCAGTGAATGATTCTTGACAATGGCAAAAACGATTGCGGCCGCACATCAATGTGCAATGTACTGAGTGGATGCATTTGATTACAGGTTCTGTCCAAGCATGTTTTTATACTTGATGACAATGATCCCTTGTGACTGGATCGCCAAAATACAAGTCCTCGATTGTGTCGCATCCAGCAAAGACGCAAGTACTACCTGTATAACTGCTGTTAATGAAACTACAGAAATCTTTCAAGTGAGTAGCCTTGTTGCATAAAACATAGACTGCATGCAGGGTCCCTGTCGTGTAACAAGGACTGGGTGACCGACAACTTCATTCCTAGGGTCTCTCATCTTACCCCCTCCTGGAGCGAGAGAGGAGTCTGGTTGGGTAGCTAGTGCTTAAAAACAACAGTGGTTTATACCAAAAGTAACCAAGATCAATGGCAGTAAGCATACTGAGACTGACACACAACCATACCTCGTTTTTATTAGTCAAAATATCTAGCCGTTTGTCATTTCAATCCACACCTCAAATTATCACTTGCCCTAACTCGTTTGTCTTCCTTAAAGGCGACAAGAGTCGAATATTTATTCGAGTCGCCTGTCAAGAGATATTTGTGGCGTGCAATAAGTCGGGCTTAGAACTCGTGACTACACTGGTAGCTCTTATTACCATAGAATTATATGATTGAAACAAAATTTATATGCATATTTTGGCGACACCAAACTTTGGACTTTAATTCTATTTTGCTTTCTTTCATACAGTTACAATTGCTTGCCCGCGCGACTAGTTCCAGAACTAATCGAGGCGGGGGCNGGGGGGGGGGGGGGGGGGGGGGGGGGGGGGGGGGGGGGGGGGGGGGGGGGGGGGGGGGGGGGGGGGGTTGCAAACGTATAAGGCCAATACTCTGCTCAGTTCCGGAGAAATGAATTGAGAAAACTGAATGCATCGTCTTTGGGAATTAATTTTTTTCTTTTCTCTGTTTTAGTTTCTCCAAGGACTACAAATCACTGACGACGAAAGACTGCTGTACACTATGGAGCAGGCTCTGGTTCTTATCTTGGTCATTGGCAGGTGGCTCCTCCCAAAAGGAGGTATATCACGTGATCAATTGTCCCAGTTGCTGCTAATCTACATTGGCACAGCGGCAGACATTATGGAGTTCACGGAGATAATCAAGGAAGATGACATCAGAAGAACAAACCCGAAAATGCTTCAGAACAATCACTTTGTCAACGCCGTGATTCTTTTTTGGAGCGTGAGCCTCTTTCAATTTCCACTGACGATTTACGCCATGGAAAGAACTGCTCAGAGGCTGGAAAAAGAGAAGGCTGAGCTAGAAGAGCAGCTAAAGAAAATCAAAGGAGAGAAAGATGTTCGAAGACGGAGAAATCAAGTCGCGCCTTCACCGGCATTGTACACGTATAAAAAGAACCACAGTCAGGACAGTAAGGAACAAGATGAAATACGTGTTAGATATATTCAGACCAAATTTGGACTCGAGATTAAACCGGAAATGACGTCAGTTACAAGCATGGACGAGGAGGAAGCTACAGTGCACGTTTCTCAGGGAGCATGTAGCCGCTGTTGGCACAAAGTTACCAAAGCACTCGACAATGCTGCCACTAAGATGCAGGATTACACCGAACTTGTGAGTTTGCTTATACCCATGTTCATGCAAGACGGACCGTTTCTTATCATTCGCTTAATCGTCATCGCCTATTATCAAGTTTACCACGATACTTTGTACTTTCTTACCGTTAAGAACGCTCTAGTTGTGATGCTGCAAGTCTACCGCATTTTCGTTTTGTACTACAAGCCACCAGAAGAAGACATTGACGAGTTTTTCCCTGAGAGCGATCCTTCACACAGGCTGTGTAACGTACAGACGGCCATTAACTCTGTACAGCACACAAGGCTTGCTATCAGATTGGTGTCTAGGCTCCACAGACAGGCAAAATGGCGCCGCGGTGCAGGACGCACTCTAGGTCGCGTCAAAAAGAGAAGTACTTCTTCGCAGAATCATCAAAACGAAGAGGAAAAGAAAGATACCATCCCTTAAAGAAACGTCCTACTCATTTCGAGAAAGACTCTTTTTGTTGTTGTTTATTTTCCACGTGTTGTGCTCGTGGTAAAAAGATTTCTCTCTCTTCGTAGGTTGAAGGACGGAATTTCACATTGCTCTGCTCTGTCCTCTTTCGATTTTTGTATTATTTTCACATAGCAGATTCCCTAAACTGAAGGAAAGGCCACAGACGAAAATTTAAGAATGGCTGACTGTTAGGATCGAGAAACGCCGGTCAACGACCCATTTGGCAAATCGCTCATATTTTGCCCAAAGATACCCTTAGGTGACCTA